TGTTTTAAACTGTATATTTGATGTTTAAGGATTTATTACATTTTTAGGTGTTAATGGAGTTTTTTATGCTTTTGAGGTACATACCGATACTAAGGGTAAAATATGCCTGATTAGCTTTAAAACAGAAGTGATTTGGGGTGTGATTGATCCCTTATAGCTAGGTAGGTATGAGGTCATTGTTCTTTCTGCTTTTGTGTATGTTCGAACTTTGCCATAATAATAAAACAGCACCAAAAATAGTTGAGCAGAGAAACAGCCCAATTTAGCCACATTATATTTGTGACGATAATTTTCAAAAACTATGTTTACCTATAAAATGGAAATAAGTACCTTTCCACTTTGTGTTGGGATTAGCCACAGAGGAACTTTAGTTACAGTCTCACAAAATTGATTCAAACTAGATATTTCACTTGAATTAATGAGAATTGAAGAGAAAAGCCCCCTTTCCCCAATCTTGTATTGTCTCCTCTTCAAGGTATGGTCACAACTATTGCTTCCATTCCTTGTCATCAGTCATCATCTCATTTCCAGGAAATGCACAAGCATTTCTCTGCCATTGAAGACCCTTCCCTGTGGGAAAGGGAACACCTAGGTAGCCATCTATTAAATCGACCTCTACCATTGCCACCTTCAATGACTTTCTATATCATTAATCGATCTGCCTTCTCCCTCCCTCATCTCAAAGCCCACTTTGCTTCTTTATCCTCTCTATGTAAAGTCTCCAGTACATATCCAGGTGGTGGTAGGCAGAGTAACAGCCTCTCTTCACCCAAGATGTGCATGTCCTCATGCCCAGAAATGGAATGTTAGGTCCTGTAGCGAAAGGTTAAGGCAGCAGATGGAGTGAAGGTTGCTTAATCACCTGACCTTAAAATGGAGATTACCCTGGTTGTCTGGGGGCCCAGTAATTACAAGGGTACCAGAAGTCAGAGAAGGATGTAACTGGAAGAGTAGAGAGATGCAGTGTTGCTGGTTTGGAGATGGAAGGGGACCACAGGCCAAGAAATGCAGGTAGCCTCCAGCAGCTGGGAAAGGATTCTGACACCTTGATTTCAGCACAAGTGAGACCCATGTCAGACTTTTTTTTAATTGATTTGCATGAGAAACAATGATTTGTTGTTCCATTTACTTATGCATTCATTGTTTGATCCTTGTATGTGCCCTGACTGGGGATCAACCTGCAACTTTGGTGTATTGGGACAAAGCTCTAACCAAGCTACCCACCCAGGGCTATGCCAGACTTCTATAGAACTGTATTTATGTTGCTTTAAACTATTGTGCGCTGATTTCTTTATGGCACTAATAGATCAGTAAACATTTATTAATTGCAATTTTACTGTAAGGAAGAGCTGTCCCTTCTCTCCCATGTATAAATCTATGTCAGAGTGGACTCATCACGATTGTATTCTATGGCTTATAATTCATTGCAACCTGGGTGCTCCTTCAGGTTGGTTCCTGTGTCGAGACAAGCCTCCTTCCTTTATTGAGCACATTCTTACTTTATGCTATAAGATATTCCAGACTCATTTTATATTCTCTCTGCTTCAGATCAGAATTTCCCCAAGGAGCTCTGGTTCCTTTTATTGAAGAATAGTATTTAGAAACCAAGATTTGGACACTATATGTGCTCATTGCTACTGGGGTATCACTGCCTCTAGGCCCTCTGAACAGTCAGGGCTAGGAAATATACAAATATTTCTAACCCTAGTGGTCATACCCAGAGGCATATTTATTTCAGTATCTATCTGGATGTATCTAGGAATCCATACACCCCCATAAGGTTCATTCTAACCTTACCACCTTCTCATCTGTCATTTTGCTTCAGCAGGGCCAGAGCTCGCACCATCCCTGCCGAAAGAGGGAGGGGCGTGCTGCATAGTGCTTGGCTTAAAGGATGGGATTTCCACAGACAGATGGGAAAGTCACTCCTAGCAGAGAACAGCATGAGCAGAGGCTGGCTGGCAGGCAAAGCAGGGCGTGATGATGTGGAAGCCTAAGGCGGGGAAGAGACAGATCCCAAAGGGCCTGAACTAAATCAACAATGGGTAGTTCATGAAGGTGATTTCACCAGGCAGCGGAGAACTGCTTACACTGTGGATTAGGAAGTGGCAGAACCAAGGCTCTCTGGGCTTTAGCTCCAGGAGCACATAGATTGCTGGGGAAAGTGGAGCTGTGGTCTTGAGCCAGAGGGGTGCAGCCATCATGGGAAAGAAGTGATGGGGGGAAAGATAGCACAGAACCAACAGAACTGTGACTGACAGAATGTGGAGGAGGTAGGGAGGAGGCAGGACTCAATGTAACAGGGCTGCAACGTGTATGGCTGGGAGGAAGTGGTACATGGACAGAACCCCAAACAAAAGGTTCTCTGTAAATTTCGTTTCCCCCTTGAAGGCAGGTATGGGCTTACCTGCTCACCGACCACAAAGCCTCACAAAACGCCCCGTGAAGACAGGCCAGACAGAGTAATCTCTCCCCTTACACATGATCTCAGTCCTGGGCCCTCCCTCAGCTCTTCTAACTCCATTGCCTGCCACACACAGCGATGACAACCATGCTCCTGTGGCAGGCTGCCCGTCAGCCAGGACACAGCTAACCCCCCTCCCCCCGAGGCCTCCATACGCTGGTCCCACCTCCCTTTTTGGTCTACCTTGCATTCTAGCCAGAGACCACTTTCCCTTCCCTGCTGACTTGGCATCACTCAGGTCTGTGCCCTTCTGTCCAGCCCCACCGGTCCCAGGCGTCTCCTTGAGCTCTTACCTCTGCCTGGAACACCCTCCCACACCTGGTTAACTCCTGGACCCACACAAGCCAACCTGCCCCACTGCTGGGCTAGATGCTCCTCCATTTGGCCCTACAACTCTGTACTGAGACAGCCTGTTCTTCCTCCCAACTTGTGTTTTTTGGGGCAAAGACCCCATTGACCCCAAACGGTGGTGAAGGGCAGACACTCTCTGGACTTGTTTCTCACTGCTCCTTCCACCGCCTTCTGGCCTCAGCTTCTACCTTCAGAGCCCAGCTCATCGACACCACCTCTGCCATCTCCCCCCATCACTCTCCTTCCTGACTTGTCTGAACTCTGCCTGCATCATTGCTGGTCTGTCAGCCACAGCCACACGTGAGTGGGGCAGCAGAGGTGTTCCAACAGGTAGGACGCAAAGACAAAGCCTGAGCCCCACCTGCCAGGAGGCCCTGTCCAGGAGCAGGCAGAGGAAGGCAGCCTGGTCCTGCTGCTCCGGAGGATGGGTAATGAGGCTGGGAATTCTGCCTCCAGGCTGAGAGCCCAGCCTCCTGGGGCCTCCAGTGCCATGTTGCCCCACCAACCACTAAAACCCTCAGGCTTCTGAACTAGAGCCAGTGCCATACTGCTCCGTGCCTGTCCTTTCTCTCAGAGTCCCCAGGGCTGGGTGAGCAAACAACAGCACAAGAACCACAAGAAAACGGCCACACACTGGGCCTTGTCCATAATTATTACTATAATGCTTTACAAAAATGTTTTTTTCAGGCAACTGTGTTAAATTATTATACATATCTGGGAGGGGGCGGTGGGGCTCTGGCCCCAGGGTAATGAAGACCTTCATGGGAGAGGATTGTGCCCCCTTACCCCTCTGGGTCCGACTCCTGATTAAGTGACTCCCCCTCAACCAGCAAAGACCATTAACCCTTCCCCATCCAGTACTGGGGTAAAGGAGGAGGAGCAGCAAGTCAATGAAGTGCTTTGAAGGGGAGAGTGTAACAGACTGGCTGCCCAAGCCCCCAGCGTACTCTGCCCTGGCTCTATAGGGTCCAACCGTGGCCAGAACCCCTCACTGGGGAGGGCAGGCTACCAGGACTCAGCCTGCACCCAGGCATCCACTCAGGAAGACGGGGACAGTGCGGAAGGTCAGGGATGCCTAGGAGTAGCTGGCCTTCTCGCCACCCGGTCAGGTAAGGAAGAGGAGGAGACATGAAAAACAGCGATACACCAGTGGGAGCTGCTGGCTGCCCCTCCTCTACTCCACTCCCCAAGGCTACTTACACAGGCACCCCGGCTCTGGGAGGGACTGTCGGAGGAAATGGGGGCATTTGGGTGTCTGGCCTTGGAGCTCAGGGAAGCAGCCCCAAGGGTTAGAGGCAGGAACCATAGGCTTAATTGGTTCTGCCAAGAGAGACCCCTAGAACCACCGAAGGCTGGGCTTCCCAATTCCTATATTCCAGACTCCCACCCATGCAGCTAAACGTTCCTGTGTGTGTGCGTGCATGTGGGAGGGCTGCAGGGAGGCGCTGCTGCACCCTGCCCGGGGTCGGGGCATGCAGGGGGCCCAGACAGAAAGGGTCAAAGACTTTGGCTTCCCTTTCCTCCCATGCTCTCAACGCTGCCCCCTCCTCCTTGGGCACTAGAAGGTTTTACGATGAATAGCACGAGCGCCATCCTCTTCGTACTCTTTCTTGGAGACCCACATCTTCTTAAAAGTGTCCAGCGAGGCCAGGATGGAGCCACTGTGAGGAGGGAGGGTGGTGTTCTTGGGCAGAGCCGCCCTCCCTGGGCACTCAGAGCTGTTTCCTTCACCTGGGAGGAAATCCACCCCCCTCCTCCCGGCCTGGCTAACCCTGGGAGAAGTGTCCAGGGCAAAATGGTTTCCTCCCGAGCCCTCCCTGGGAGCCCTGCCTCACCCGATCCACGTGGAGTATAGCCGCTCCTGAGGGGCCGAGATCTAGAGGGAGCAAGCAACACGTAACTGCCTGTCCCCACGCAGCAGCCCCGTCCCCGCAGGGGGTGATTCCCACAGCCCGAGGCCAGACAGCAAGTACTTGAGCCGGGAGCAGGGGAACAGGCGAATGGGAGCAGCGGCTGGGCTGGAAATGAGAGGCCCCCGGAGGCGACCGGTGCCCTCTCCTCCCAGTCAGGGCTGCCCAGCACCCCATGCGCCACGGGCACGCTCCACAACCTCACCTTGATTTTGACGTCCTTTGGGGCAAGCTTCTTCACTTCACTTAGTAATCGGTCGCCAAAGCCTGTGAACACAAGGCTGGCTAGCCTGGGGTCCACTTCTGGCCCTCCTACCACTAGCTCCCCTGATCCAGCCTGGTGCCCCCCAGCCGCCACCTTCCTTCAGCAGCCCTTTCCGGCATGAAGGGTAGGCGCGAGCCACTCCAGGGGCAGAAAAGACCCAGCCCCACGCCTGCAAGTGACCCCGCTAACAAAGAGAGGTGACATGAGCTAGAACCCAAGTCACCTGGCTCTGCTGGCCCCCACGTTCTTCCTCACCCAATGCTCCAGCAGTCAAAACCCGCCATAAGCAAAGTCAAAGGCAAATGACAAGTCAGGAGAAAACATCTACCATTCTGCCCGTCAGGTGGGCAGAGATCACACAGTGTCGGGCAGGCAATGGGCACAAGCTCCCAGGAGGGAATGGGCAGCACCTACCCAATAACAAAGGCACACCCGCCCTGACCCGGCTGTTCTCTGGGATTTACCGTCGGTCTGTTCTCACCACGGGAAATGACGGTGCACATCTGAGACTAGAAGGGACTGCAAGAGGCCATCAGCAGGACAACGGCCATGTGGCACATTCGTCCAGTGAAATACCACACGGACATATCGAAGAACTTACATGGCAGGACAAGACCTTCCAGATAATATGCTAAGTAAGCCATACATGGTTGGGACGTGCAGAACATGCAGTTTGCGTGTATGTGGGGTTGATGCACATTTGTTTATATGTGCAGGAAGGCAGCCGACAGTTGCCTGAGAAACCAGCAAGTCCTGTGCGGAGGGAAGGGGTGACCAGGACAATGGGAAAGGACACTTCATCTAACACATTTTAGATCTCATATAAACCAATCACCTACTTATGAAGTGAGTGAATGTCATTTTAAATCTTACTCTTAAAAAGCGTTGCTCACTGAGCACCGAAAAGCCAATAGAAAAGGGGCCCTGTCCCAGGCTGCAGGGAGGGGGTTCAGAAGGCCCAGCCTCCCTTGCCCCCCCCCCCCCCCCCCCCCCCCCCCCCCCCCCCGCACC